TATATATATATATATATATATATATATATATCAATATATATATATATATATATATATATATCATATATATATATATATATATATATATATATATATATATATATATATATATATATATATATATATATATATATATATATATATATATATATATATATATATATATATATATATATATATATATATATATATATATATATATATATATATATATATATATATATATATATATATATATATTGAGAAATCACCAATTGGCCAATTCTTCCAAGTCACTTAAATTTTTGTCAGTCAAACAGGTTTCTACTTAATACTTTTTACATCAGTCTGAGAACAACTCCACACACTGCCACAAGATGGCGCCACAACCCTGCACATCCATCTCCTGTCAGCCTTAATCCAAACACAATATACTAAAAAGCAGGATTTTGCCATTTTTAGTAGACCCTTTGTTCCACTTTGATAAACTACTAGTCCTACTCAGTCCATAATTTGAACCGTTTCTTCGGTGTTGTGCAGTAAAATAATCTTTTATTCCTCAATAACATGTTCTGCAAATATTATTGTGTGAAAAGGAACAAAATCTTTTGGCGTCAGACTTTACATACAAACTGCTGTCCAAGGAATTTTAGAGGATGTTTTTATGATTTCACAAGAATGTAGATATTTCCAATGAGCAAATGACTCCCAGAACTGACTCTTGAGATTATGTAAATTCCTCCAGTTTTTTCAGGCAGTTGTTTAAAAAGCTAGTAATACTTTACAAAACCTTCAGGTATGAAATATTCAGGAGCTCGACTGTAGCACTGATTATTGAGCATAAAGCTGTTTTTTGGTGTTTATTTGGTGTTAAATAAAATGTAAATGTTATTTGGTGCATAAAAAACAATGCGTTATTCTTCCCAGATAGCGTACGAATGTGGGCCACTTTAGGCAGTTATGGTGCACTGGTGGTCTTCCTTCAGCCCAGACAAAATGAATGTGAGCCTGGAGTGGCCCACCTGTACAATGGCAAAAGTGGTGTTAAATCGATTAAATCGATTCCATGCGCGTTCAAGAAAAAAGGTCAGGAAAGGTTTTTCTTCAATGTCAAAAATCGTAACAATTTAAATAAATAATTCGATCCACAGAATTCTGTTGTCCTCAATCCAATGCAGAAGTTACATTAAGGAGGTGCGCAACCCCTTTCTTTTCCCAACTTCAACTTATATAGGCAGCTGATATTAACAGGTGGAGTTTAATGAAATTCGTCATTCGTCAGTCATTGTTCAGTCCCTCATTGGCCGCACCCCAGACATACTTCCTCTTTTTCTACGAATTCTCTGCACAACAAAAAAACCCCAGACATACTTCCTCTTTTTCTACGGAATTCTCTGCACAACAAAAAAAGCATACAACTTTCTGTGCTCTGTGTTCAGTTTTAACACCTCTCTTCAGACAGGAAGTTTCTGCAGAGCTGAATTTAATTTTGGACCCGCATCTATCTGCTTCTGCAAAAATTGCTAATTAGTATGCACAGCACTCACACACAACAGTAGAAGTTCAGTTAATATATGACCGTTTATATATTAATAAATATGGCGATTACATGACCAATACAAATAATTGTTTGATTAAAAGAAAAAGAGACAAAAATAATGTAAAAATCATTCCTATTTTCCAAAGGGGGACCAAAGATTCTAATTCATATATGGGCCATTTAAAATAAAAATTTGCCACTAATGACAAAATGTAATCTGATTGTGAGCCCAATGTGGCCCATGTGGAAAATGATTAGTTTGGCCCAAATGATGGAGGACAAATGTGGGCCACAGTTGGCAAAAACGTGGCAATGTCATATAAAGGTAATCTGGGTCTAAACCTAAAGTGGCTCACATGTGTCCCTGTTATCTTAAGACACATGTGGGCCACGCAAATATTTCGCACTGTAAGCTCTGGCTAATGTGGATGTGAGCCTAAAGTGGCCCAGAGAAGATATGACAAATGTGGCCCAGTTACCTCAAAACAAATGTGGGCCACATAGACTAAAGTCACCATCATGGAGAAAAGAGTTTGCTTTAGTTGGGCTCATAACTCTTAATCTCTTATTATACATTTTTTTTTTGGGCTGCTGGAACTTTTAAGAACTTTGAATAGTTTGAATGAGTTCTGGTTCATCTGGTTGAATTCTGGCTAATATGTGGTATTGCTTTGGCTTAATTGTGGCCCAGATCTGACAAACAGGAGCAGACTGCCCTAGAGCCATTATTCCATTCAGTATGTGGTCCAGATGTACGTGTTTGGTGTGGGCCGGATCTGGGCCAGAATAAAAGCAAACTGTGGCCCAGAAAAGGTTCAGTTCTGGTTCATTTGGTTGAATTCTGGCTAAAATGTCGTATTGCTTTGGCTTATTTGCGGCCCAGCCCTAGAGCCATCATTCCATTCAGTTTGTGGTCAAGATGTAAGTGTTTGGTGTGGGCCGGATCTGGGCCAGAATAAAAGCAAACTGTGGCCTAGAATAGGGTCAGTTCTGGTTCATTCGGCTGAATTCTGGCTGATATGTGATCTTGCTATGGCTTAATTGTGGCCCAGATCTGGCAAACAGGAGTGGACCACCCAAGTGCATCATTTCATGCGGTATGTGGGCCAGATGTAAGTGTCTGGAGTGGGCCAGATTTGAGCCACATAAATTTTGCTAGCTGGGTCAATAATATGTCCCGGTAAATGTCATTAGTGTGAAAAGGAACAAAAGCTGTTGGCGTCAGACTGCCCCCTAGTGTTCATTCTACATGCAAACTGCAGTCAAATGAATGTTGCAGGATGTTTTTTTAATTTCACAATAATAGAGATCTTTCCAATAAACAAGTGTTGATTAAATGACTCCCAGAACTGACTCTCGAATTCACTTGTATGTTACTATTCTGGCTAAATAAGTGAATGTGAATGAATGTAATATGGAGTCTCACCAGCTTTGGCATAGCCTGTGCCATTGAAATAGTTTCCCTTTTCTGGGTTGGCAAAGCAGGAGCCCACGCGGTAGCTGGAGGTGGGATTCTCCATATCCAAAGGCAGATTCATCATCTTGAAGTTCCTAATGCAAGCGTCAATACTGTACAGCACCTGCAAAACACAGCCAGTGTCAAATACACTACACATTTCCAAGTTTCCAGGTCATGACTTGGTAGTTTCATTGGAAGTTTCTGAGTGCGTTTAAACACAGCCATGTCACCCTGCAGCCCAAGAACAATTACTCACTGAAGCTAAGCAGGGCTGAGCCTGGTCAGCACCTGGATGGGAGACCACTAGGGAACACTAGGTTGCTGTTGGAAGTGGTGTTAGTGAGGCCAGCAGGGGGCGCTCAACCTGTGGTCTGTGTGAGTCCTAATGCCCCAGTATAGTGAAGGGGACACTACACTCTCAGTGGGCGCCGTCTTTCGGATGAGACGTTAAACCGAGGTCCTGACTCTCTGTGGTCATTAAAAATCCCATGGCACTTCTGGTGAAAGAGCAGGGGTGTAACCCCGGTGTCCTGGCCAAAGTCCCTCTATCGGCCCTTACCATCATGGCCTCCCAATCTTTCCCTTTCCACCGAATTGGCTCGATCACTGTCTCTCCACTCCACCAATAGCTGGTGTGTGTTGAGCGCACTGGCGCGGTTGTCCTGTGGCTGCTGTCGCATCATCCAAGTGGATGCTGCACACTGGTGGTGGTGTGGAGAGACCCCGCTCATGATTGTGAAGCGCTTTGGGTGTATGGCCGTACACAATAAATGCGCTATAATAATACACATTACATTACATTACATTACATTTAAACTGACGACACACAGAAGTGTTTGTGATTGAGCTGTGTTCGGTGATGTACTCACAGGGCCGATGCGTTTGGTGGTGTAGTTGAGCGGTAAACCACCAACATACAGCATTCCCACCACATCCAGGATTTCTGCTTTCTTCGGGCTGGTGGTGTGTTTGCTGTAGCGGCCGTCTATCGTGAGGACTCCTCTCTGTTTGTCTCTCATCACACGGATCTACACAGAGAAACTGATGATCAACAACACATCACAAACACTGCGTCTCAATTCTGGCCTCAACTATACACTTTTTAGGTGTGTAACAGAAGTGTGAGTGTTCAAGCTTTGGGACATTACACTTTCTCATTAACGGACTGACCTTGTGCCACTGCCCGTCGTTGATGATGCGCGGCACGCTGACGGAGGTGTTCCCGCTGCCCAGGTCGAAGCTTAGGTGAGCCATTCCCTCCTTCAGCTGGATGGTGGCGAAGTCTGCGTGGTTTATTCTGGCCATGTAGAAAACCAGACCAGAGTCTGTCTCTGTGCGCATCTCGAACTCAATGACCAACCTGCAGGAACACACACACACACACACACATATATATATATATATACAGATATACGCACAAGCGCACATACACACACACACACATGCACAGATACATACACACAGACAGACACACACACACAGGTATATACACACATACACACACACACATAAATAAGACACACACACGGTCATATATTGCGAGACACAGATATATATCACAGAGACATACACACACACACACACACACACACACACACACACACACACACACACACACACACACACACACACACACACACACACACACACACACACGTGCACACACACACACAGATACACACACACACACACACAAAGACACACACTCAGATATACACACACACACAGATACATACACACACACACAGACAGAAACACGCACACACAGATATATACACAAATAAACACACACACATGCACAGAAATAAATATGCACGGACAGACATGCACACACACACACACACACACAGATATATATACACACACACAGATATATACACAAATAATAACACACACACATGCATAGACATAAATAAGCACGCACAGACACAAACACACACAAACAGAGAGAGAGACACACACACACACAGAAACACACACGCACAAAAACAAACACACACTCAGATATACACATGCACACACATGCACAGATACACACACACACAGACAGACACAGATATATACACAAATAAACACACACATGCACAGAGATAAATATGCACGCACAGCCGCACACACACACACACACACACACACACAAACACACACACACACACAGATATATATATATATATACATACACACACATATACGTATATATACATACACATATACATATATATATAAATATACACATACATACATACATACATACATACCACATACATGTATACAATATATACACATACATGGAAAATACATACATACATATAAACACATACATCAGTGTATAATGACGATCTGTAAGGCATCTATAGAAAAACTCATTTAATCATTCATTTTCTTATCGGCTTAGTCCCCTCATTAATCCGGGGTCGCCACAGCGGAACGAACCGCCAACCAGCTACTTTCTACGCAGCGGATACCCCTCCAGCCGCAACCCATTTCTGGGAAACTATAGAAAAACAGTTTTACAAAAAAGAAGAGAAATCTACTTTCAGTACACTTTCTGAATATTGAAATCTTTAGACAGTAGTTTTGGGTCGCTATAAATCATCTCCATGACAGATTTCCCAGAGTGAGCGAAATGAAGATTTATTGCGATTGTATGTTTGAAATGAAGTGTTCATCAAAACGTCATGCATTATCCGTGACATTTCAAAAGCTCTACAGTCTGTAGGTCATAATGGGAAACATCTCAGGAATGTTGCGACTCTTCAATGCTAATGTGGAGGAATGTGACCATCTCAGTCATTTAATTGTGTGCTTTTAATTCATGTGAAGAGGAAGAGAAATGGATTAGAATGGTGGACCGTCTGGTGTTCCACTTGTTGAAT